AGAAAGCTGTTAAATATTACTTATGATTTTTTGTTAAATAAAATCTTTAAAAAATAAATAAATAAATAAATAAATAAAAAATATTAAAGGTTAGCGATCCTGGGAGTTTGCACTTTGAGTTAAATGTACATTTTAAGCATAAATCAGGTTTACAGAAAGCTGTTAAATATTACTTATGATTTTTTGTTAAGAGAAGTCAATAAGAACCATTCACCAAGATTTCTTAGGAAGTTCACATCACTTCTGTGAAGCAGGGAAAGAAAGATGATATCATACCCAATGTTGAATTAAAAAATTTAAAAGGTAAGAGCACCCAAAGAGTTTTGGTGATTGTCCTAGAATTAGCTGCAGAGTCTACATTTATACCTGGCCCTGTTCTCTACTCTCTCCTCTGTTCTACTAGAGCAGCCTCTGCTCAGATTAGAAGAGCAAACGAAATGCAAGCATTCCACTTAATGGTAACTGAATTTTTGATAAAACTTGACAGTCAGATTAAAACACAGATTAAGTCCAGATGCGGTTGGCTTCAGATCTTCTGCTATGTGTCCTGTATTCATGGTAAAGGTCAAAGTTCTTTTGACTCACTTCTTTATTTCCTCATCTGTAACATTGCCTCCCTGAACTCTAGACCCCTATTTATTCGACACGCAGCAGTGTGAACATATACTCTCAAGACGAGAAGCAATCCTAGAGTGACTTACATGGTGAAGACATCGAGTGTATCTCCAGCGGTTCTTGCCATCTCAAAGTAGGTTTGCAGAATGTTGACAGTTCCAGAGAGTGCTTCATGGCCACAACCACAGAACAGGGCTACCCCAGCGTAGAGCAGGATGGTGGCAATCAGGGAGGCATAGGGAATGCCTCCCAGGCATTTAATACAGCACTCAAAACACCCTGCAGAAGACCAACGGAAGACAGTTAGGATTTAATATTTTTTCTTGATCTATATTAATATTATGGGAAGGCATATTTGCATTTATAGATGCAATTATTTATAAATGATGCAATTATGGGAAGGTGTATTTGCATTTATAGATGACATCAGATCAACACACACATCCAGTCTGCCCTGCAGGGTATAAAAATCAAGTTTCTTAATTATAAACCCATCCTCTACAAGTAAGAGAATATTTAATTCCATTGAAGGCTTCCTCTTCTTCTACCCCCAAACCAATAGAAACCCTTCCTTCCTGACCCAGACTTCCCATAATAATCTTCATCGTGTATATCATTCTATCTTGACTTTATTGCTGTCAAATTTCATCTGCTTAAGTTTTTATTTCAATGACATTTATTCTATGGAACTCCCTTTAGCTGTATTTTCAAAACAGTGGGTCAAAACCTGTTCATTGCGAACCCAGTTTAGTGAACTTTGCTCAGCAGTTTTTAGAAGGGAAAGAGAACAGATTAGGCAATATCTGAGTACACTGCATGCAGTAAAGCAAATTATTTTAGAGGCTTTTGAGTTCAGATATTAATTTATGTTATCTTTGTAGTGACTCAAATGTGAAATCTACTTCTTGCTGTGATGCGTGATTAAAAAAAAATGAGAAAGATACTGAAAAATGAGAAACCAGGACAGGTAAAATCCTCACTCTACCACTGTGTGTTTTTTGGCAAGTTTATTCTTTTCATTTCATCATTTGTAAAAGGGTGACAGTAAGAATTCCCCTCAAGTCGTTCTTGTGAGCATTAATCACACTACTGGGTATTTCCCCAAAGAATATGAAAACACCAATTCAAAAAGATATATGCACCCCTATGTTTATAGCAGCAATATCTACAATAGTCAAATTATGGAAACAGCCCAAGTGTCCATCAACAGATGAATGGATAAAGAAGATGTGGTATATATATACAATGGAATATTACTCAGCCATAAAAAGACTGAAATCTTGACATTTGCAACAACATGAACAGAGCTAGAGAGTATAACACTAAGTGAAATAAGTCAGTCAGAGAAAGACAAATGCCATATGATTTCACTCATATGTGGAATTTAAGACACAAAACGAACAAAGGGAAAAAAAGAGACAAACCAAAAAATAGACTCTTTAGAATAGGTGGTTACCAGAGGGGAGGGGGGTAGGTATGGGTGAAGTAGTGATGGGGATGAGAGTGCACTTGTCATGATGAGCACTGAGTAATGTACAGAATTGTTCAATCACTATATTGTACACCCAAAACTAATAAAACACTATATGTTAACTACACTGGAATTTAAATTACATTTACATTACATTACATTACATTACATTAAAGAGTGAGTTAAATAGTGCGTGCCATGGAGTAACCACTCAATAAACGTCAGGGCTACCATTACTAGATACACCTGTAACTATAAGATTAACTCTGATTGTATTGTAATATGGTTTTCAAAAATACTTTGATGACAGGAATCGCTTTTGCTTTTTAAAGTTTTGTCACATTAGTCTTTTGAAAGATAGCTTGGTTGTTAATATTAAAGGTAAGTATCAGAACTTGCTAGATATTTTCTAAGAGCTTAAGTGTGTATGTTTTGCAATAAGACATATTAATGAGATACTCTACCAGCTGCTGGTAAGAAAGGAAGCCTAAGTAAGGGGCTACCAGGATCAGAGCACTCCTAAGATGATCTCAGTTTCCCCTCCATCCACTTGTGTGTGTTCCCCCCCATCTCCCCCATATATATCCTACTCCAGAGATTTCCTCCTACTTTTCTCCTTTTGGAAATTCTTGATCAAATCTCCTTCTGTAATGCTGAAGCCTCTCAAAAACTCTCTACATAACTGGTTCTTCCTTTCTGCAGAAACAAATAAGTGAGATTGGAAAATGGATGGTTATTTATTGTACTTAAGTAATTCATGGGAAGATCTGTGTGCCCTTTATCTAGAATGCATATATGTTTATAGTAACATACAATGCATGCAATCATTGTAAAGTTGTGTGTGAATTAATTTTATATTTAGAGAGTGGTCTAGCCTGCTAATTTTAATACTGATCATTGGAACTGGCCTTCTTGAGAGAATTATGGCTCACCTCATCTGCCCCAGAGGCAAGAAAAGGAAATCTGAACATGTCCTCACTTCATAGCAATTGTTAGTCCAGGAAATCATTTCCTGAACATTCCTTCCCCGATAAACACACACACAATGTGGGGAAGAAGAAAAGGTTAGAACAGCTTGACACTTCATATGATAGGAAGAGATTTCACTAGCAGATGGATGAGACCAGAGTGTATAGTCTCTGAATGTCATTGAACACAGTTTTGAGTGGAGATTAACAGGATAGCAGAAAAATCTTTGAATTATTCTGTTTCTCCATGTTGTAAAAATTTCACCTTATTGTTTATTTAAAAATAAAGAAGAATAAGAAACAAAATTAGTACCAACCCAAACAGGAGTTACCCTTATTTTGGTGAGTGCCCCCAAACAGCCCTATAATTTCAAATCCAATTCCTTTGTGATTTCTCTCCCCTACTATTCTTGAAGAATTCGATATAGGTGTGTGGGATTTCTTCTGCAAGCATTGAGGTGTCAAAACCAGATTAATGTAGTCAACAAAACCCTTCAGAATAGAAGTTTAAATATAAAGAAAAGAGTCCAAACATTAAATTCATAGATAGGGATTACCTTTCCTGGGTCTTATCAAAGCTTATAACAAAACAAACATAAAATCAGAATGAGGCCCAGGAACAATGAAGTGGTAAGCCTATACAGATGATCATCAAAATGCTACTGAAGATTTTTGCTTAATTCTGCTAATCTGAATTCTATCAGAGTCAGTTTCTACTTACTTCACATTTTCTCGATTGTGGTTTAGATGGACCAATACTAAGACCCCCATGCAAGCAAGCCTAGTTACCTAGACTCCATATATCTCAGGAGAGGGAGGGTGGTGGTGGTTATTATGTCACAGTTTATAGGATTAGTTACAGTAGTGCCTTTTAAATTTAGAAAAACATGAGATAAATTTCAATACTGCATAAGCCCAAATTGACAACCCTGAGTTAACAGGCATTTCTGAATGAGTTCAAGATCTCCAAATTAAATGGCAATATTTCTTTTACTCCCTATTTAAATGCTGCCATTTAAATCCCTCAGAATTATATTAACCCTATTGATGAATACAAATTTCTCTAGCCCTCCCTCACTGCCAAGTTAGGCTAGACTCCTTCAGTTGGAGTCCTGATCCTCTGCAAGGCTTTTACTCAAAATAAGAAACTTGAAGAATCTTAACATGCACATTTTGCACTTGTAATGGGCTAGATCCTAATTACCCCCACTTCTCAGGGCCTGAGTTGCCTATTAGATTTAAAAGAAGACTCTCAGAACTCCCATCTGGGGAAGCAGCGCATCATTTCAGCCTTCTCTCCAGCTGCCAGAATCCCACATAGTCGCTGGCAGGGGAGTTCTTTCCACCCACAGTGAGAAACAGCCTTGGCAGAGCAGAAGAATCACCATGGCAACCGTGCTCTGGGGCCCAGGACATGCTCCCAACAATCATCCTTTAAGGCTGAGGATTCGGCTGCCACCCACCACCACGTTTTTACTGCCCCTCAAAATGAGAAACCACTCCATTTAGTGATTATCGGTGAAAGCATCGTACGTGAAGTGTTGGCACTGGAGAAAATACATTTCTTGAGAAAATCTCTATAAAAACAATAAAGACTACTTTGCCCAGGAAACACTTTCAAGACTAGATATGAGGAGAATAGGCCACTGATTGTCAAGTAGAGCTCGTAGTTCAAATACCGAACATGGAATTTACATGCTATCCAGTGGATGCTACCCATATACACAGTGAAGCACTTCTCATACATACCCAGTTCCTGGTTGTATTTTCTCAAAATGAATGAACACTATGCCTTTACTTTCAAAGGAAAAAAAAAGTAACAAGGAATTACAACACTTCCTTTTCAACACACTCTGAAACATTAGCATTTGTCCAATATTTAGTGAGGCTATACACTGACTTGTCCTACAAAAATTAAAAAAAAAAACAAAACAGAAGTTCCTGATATACTCCAAATTTTTTAGAAAGAGGAGATACATGATTAATTTACTCCCATTTAAACATCATGAAGTAAACACAAGCCTTTGCCTTTGCTCATTTCACAAAGTGCACCAAGGTAAGTCAAGGGGAAAGAATGTAAACCAACGAGGAAAAGAGCCTGGAATATAAGCAACTGAGGAGAGAGGTTAGCAACCCAGTGGTGGATTCTGGAAAAGAGATTGACAAATGACACTGACAATTAAATCATTGATAAATATTTCCTAGCACCATTTATCAATGAGTTGATGCTTTCTCTACCGAGCTGTAATGACATCTTGGTCATCACCAAATACCCTGAGAGGTCTGGGTGTATTTGGGGGCTGTCTATTCTGGTCCATCAGTGTCTTGGTCTGTCTCTAGGCCAATGTCACCCTGCCTTACAATACGTTTGTTCGTCCTCCTCATGTGTATCATGCTATTAATGTCTCTTCTACATGACCATGTAAATTTCAGGAAGTTTGTCTGATTCCACAATTTAACTAATTGGGATTCTGACTGGTATTTATATACTGATTTATGTACCTAGAAATTTTGCCAAATTCTTTTGATGATCTTCTGAGTTATTTTGATTCTGTGCATTACTCTGTATTTTTTTGATAATCATATCATCTGTGAAAATTTTGAGCTTTCTTTTCATTATTTGTACCTTGCATTTATCTTTCTATTGGCTTATTCTGTCAGGTAAAATGCAATGAGAAGAGTAGAAACAATGAGAAAAGGACACCTTTTCTTGTTCCTGATAATAAAGAAAACATTTGGCATGTTTTACCATAAAGTGTGATGTTTGCTGTTGATTTATTGGTTAAAGAGGTCTCTTTAATTTTGGATTCTATAACATGCTTTCCCTCATCTGTTGAAAT